CATCATTAGACAGACAGAAAGAGACTCGTCGTAGAGAGAATGGCAGTACATCCATAAGTAAAGAGAGCCCGAGGACACTCGAAGGCACGAAGAGCGGACAGTGCGAGTCAGAGAGCATCGGTGAGGTACGATGAGCGCAGAAATGGGAGGGAGCGGAGACCTGGATAGAGCGATAGAGGGAAGAGAGGATGTAGCGAACCAGAGGGCGAGCTCATAGACGGAGGATCTGGATCCGGACCGGAGATGCGAGACGCAGGAGAGACCCGTAGTGAGGCGATGCGATAGTGAATATACGATAATAGCGAGAGTAGCTGTATTAATCAGATATGAAATGGATTCATGAGACGCCTAGAGCTCTAGATCTGCGTACTAGGCTCAATCAACAAACGATGTAATGTAGAGAGGAGTGTCGGTGGAGTACGATGTAGCGAGATGCGACGAGACACAGTACATTTGCATCTGCTAGCGATCTCTTCACACGTTATCGCTCACATTCTGCAGGTCTAGTCATAGTCATGTTGACTAGTTACCATAGAAATGGCGATGTGTAGGAGCGGAGCCGACTTACAGACCGATATAGAGTGAGTAGCATCAGCTAGCCGGACTAGCTGACGGATCAGGGTGTACTGAATATGCAGCGATATATAGCTTGATGTTAGTCGCGTATAGTGACTAGTCACTAGACCGACAGTAACGAAGAGATGAGGACATGGATCTTTGCTGATTAGTCGAGCATACATCACGGAGAGGTTGCTGAACGTTGAGGCTAGGAGCAGCTCACGAGTCGTGACGATGCTAACAATGTATTCATAGATGAGTTCGTGGTTGATCTTCATGCGCTTAGCTTAAGCGGTCTCGCTTACGAGATCTATATGGAAGCGAAACGCTCTGCGCAGACATGTTGGATCATAGCCTCGGCTGCATCGATAGATTGACTCGATGACTTAGCGCTACGCGGATCCAGACATGCAACGAACAGAGTACGCTTAATGCGATGCGCGCAAGTTGCAGGACGGGTAGACGTAGCAGTTACGTGCTCAACGATCACGACGTAGCGTAGCGCTGTCTTCCCTCAGAGCGACAATCAGTGCGGGTGTTATGCGTGTATGCGTAATGCTCCAGTAAGGGCACGCTATTACGCACTACGGACTCTAACGCGCGTTCATGAGTAATGATGTACGGGAGTGCCTGACTGCGCTTATATGGCGAGTTGAAGACTGGTCAGATTAGATAGTCGCTGGTGCGCGAATACGATGCAGTTATACTAGACATTTGTATACGACGAGAGGAGCTATCTGAACCGACGAGACGAGACATAACATTAATATGCATCGAGGTGCAGGAGTGTGCTCGGTAAGAGTACTCATAAGATGAGTACAGTGCGGTGCACAACCGGAGCAAGCTCGAACAACGGGCGTCTGTCTCGGACGGGTAGGATGATGAGTCTGCGCGATCAGGGCGCGAGGACGGCGATGAAGTCGTCGCGGTAATTGCACACGTGGATCAACTTATTGACGGGACTATAATAGGGACTCCCGATGAGAGGCAACGAATGACGTGCGAGTTAAGTAAGTAACCACGGCTGATAACAGTCGAGAGATAAGTAGCGTAGCAATTGGACAAGAGGTGATACGCGACGTACAAAGAGAGCATCACTAGACGAACATCGATAGGTAACCGAAGGTTATTTAGACACAGCATTTGGCGATATTACCCAGCGTCCGGCAAAGACAGCATACGGCAGTAGTTAGAGCGAGAGACTCGGAGAGGAGGACCAGCAGGATGACGATGGACGAAGTACGACGATTGTAACTACCACTGCGAGCAGTACTGAAAATGCAGAAGGTAGCTAGAGATGCTCGCGTCTGGGCGATTGGTTAGATCAAGGCTACGTAGGCAGGAATGTGCGCACTAATCTGTAAGATCAATCGGAAGGCTGTCTGCATTCGATCCAGCAGGCCGTTAGCGAGAAGGCGGGATTCGGCTTTGAACTAGATAATTATGATCCTACGGATCTAACTGAGGTGCCAGAGTCACTGATGGATGTAGCCTGAGTATTAGGTCAGAAAATCCGCAGGTTACAATTCAGCTGAGATTGTCTATCGAACCGAGAACGAAAAGCAGAACGTAGTCACGTCGATCACTGAAGCGGCATACGATGAGAAGCGCCACGTCGCTACGAGCATAAGCTGATAACTATTAGAGAGTTGCGGCAGCTGGATACATGTAGGACGTTAGAGTAGTTCGCATAGACATGAGTACTGTTGTACGGGCTCGGCGGAAGATGAGCTGAGCGAAGCTAAGCAGTCATGAGAGACGCAAGTGCGGATCGAAATCGAATACGAATACTAGCCTCAGGACGCTGAGAATAAGCCGCTGAAGCCTGTCACACGTTCAGCCGATACGCGTGCAGCGAAGGAGAGGCTGAAGGTCGCACCCGCCGCGCGCGCGAGCTGACAGAGCGCCGACGCGATAGCGGCGGAACCGCTATGCAGTGATTGATGGAAAGGATGTCCAGTATACACGATAGAAGAGGGAGAGAGAAGAGCAGAGCTCATTCTGGAGATCTCGCGCGCTCCCCCCGAAGGGAGAGATAGACGCGAAGGTACCGGCTTCGGCAAAAAAGAAGGACACAGAGGCAATCAGTAGAGTACATGCGGCGATAGGACATAATGAGAAACGTTCACGCATACGAGACGAGACGTACTACAAGTCATAAGTGACGAAAGGCTATCAGTAGACGCAAAGACTCGAATTATATCGGTAATTACTGGACAGCCGTCATCTATCACAACGCCGGTTGGATATCACAAGTGCTCGTCTTACATTGCATCCGTGAACGCCTCCTCTCTCTCCCTCTCTCTCTCTCTCTCTCCGTCCGTCCTTCTTCTTTCTGTTCCCTCCCCGTCCCCTCCCTCTCACGTCTCCTCTCACGGTCTCTCTCCCCCCTTCTCCTCCAGCCATCCCATCCTGCTCTTCTCCTCCCTCTCTTCTCCTCTACCCCACGCCCGTCATCTCTCTCTCTCTCAGTCTCTCTTTCTACATCACCCCCCCGCTCCCGTCCCCCCTATCCCTCTCTCTCTCCTTCTCTCTCTATCTTTTCTTTCCTCTCTCTTTTCCTCTCTTTCGTACCGCATCCGGGGCTTCCCTGGGCGAAGACGAAAACGCAGTTAATTAACAACACACCGCAAAACGAGACACTTCATCCTTGTTCCATAAATTTTGCTCGTCCTCATTTTTTCCAACCGGCAGACGAGAACGGCGGGCAGATGTAGGGGCGAGGAGAGGAGGAGGGAGAGGAGAGGAAATGAGGAAAGGAGGAGAAGGAAGGAGGAGGAAGAGGACGAGGAAGAGTGGAAGAGGAGGAGAAGAGGGAAGAGGAGGAGGAAGAGGGAGGAAGAGACGGAGGGAAGGAGGAAAGGAAAAGAGAGGTGAGGAGGAGAAAGAGGGGTGAGGAGGAGGAGAGGAGAGGAGGGGAAAAGGGAGGAGGCAAAGAGGTGGGGAGGCGGAGGAGGCGCAGAAGCAGCAGCAGGAGGGAGCCAGAGGAGGGAGGGAGGGAAGAGGAAGTGGCGCAGGAAAGAGGAAGAAGAAGAAGAGAGGAGGAAGAGGAGGTGGGAGGAGAGAGGGCCAGCAAGGATGAGAGAAGACACGAAAGAGAAATGAGGAGGAGAGGAGGGGAAGAGGAAGAGGACGAGAGCAAGGAGGAGGTAGGGCGAGGGGAGAGAAGGCAGCATCCAGGTTTTCTCTCGGTGCCTCCTCGCCGCCTGTCCGATCCCCGTGCTTTTCCGTCTCGTGGTTTAAATCGGCACGCCGAACACTGCCCTGCAGCCCCGAAGACCAGATAAAAGTAGAGAAGAGAATAAAAACAAAGGAAAGATGAAAAAATTGATTAAATGAGCGTAAAAGGATAAAGTTTTCTTCTTACAAGAAAATATCCTCTCCCGTCTCTCCTCGCCTTCCTCCTTTCTTTTCTTCTTTCCCTTCCGTCTTACCTTGCTTCCTCTTCTCTCTCTGTTCCTCCTTCTCCCATCCATTCCCTCTTCCTTCTCCCTCCATTCCTTTCCCTCCTTACTCTTCTCTTCTTCCCTTCCCTTGACTATCCGTCTTCCTTGATTCAGCCTTCCCTCATGCCCTTCCTCCTGCCGTTCTCTCTCTTCTTCCCTTTACCGTCTACCCTTCCTTCCATCCTCCTCTTGCTCTTTTCCCTCGTCTACTCTTCCCTTCCCTCATCTCCTTCTCTTCTCCCATCCGTCCTAACCTCCTCGCCTCCTTTGCGCTTCCCTGCCCCTCCCTCTCCTCTCTCTTCTTCCATCCTCCACCTCCTCTTTCCCTGCTTCCCTAACCGCTCTTTTCTTTCCTTCCTCCTCTCTTCTGCGTTTTCCCTTCCGTCCTGAACCCTCCTTTTTATCCCGTCCATCCCATAACTTCCTCTCCCTTCCTCATTCCCCTACCCTCCTTTCCTTCCCTCCTCTCTTTCCTCTTGTTTCTTACCATCCGTCTACCCTACTTCTCCTCTCCTGCTTGCTTCCTCTCCTCTGTTCTCTCTCTTCCGTACCCTCCTTTCCTCCATCTTTCCTCCTCTCTTTTCCTCTTCTCCTTCCCTCCCCAGCCTTCGGGCCGACAGCCTCGCTGACTCGGCCGAGAAGGATAAGCCAAACATGTCAGTTGTTCCTGGTGTTCCACTGGTCGATCCGTGTGATGAATCGGGGATTAATCGGGATTACTCTGATGGATTGGGGGCTGTGGGGGAGGAGGGGGAGGGGGAGAATGGGAGGAAGAAGGGGAAGAGAGGGAGGGTGGAGGGGAGGAAAGAGAGGAGGAGGTGGGAGAGAGGGGATGATGGGCAGGGAGGAAGGAGAGGAGGAGGTGGGAGAGAGGGGGTGAGGGAGGGAGAGAAGAGAGAGGGGAAGGAAGAAGAGGAGGAGGACGAGGAGAAGAGGGGGCAAGATGAGAAGTGGTGGTGTGGAGGGGGGGACCGAGAGGTTTGTGGTGGATGGTGGTTAAGGGAGGAGGAAAAGGTAGTAGAGAATGTGGCAGCGAGGGTGAGGCTGTGATTGGAGAGTTAGTGTTGGAGGTGGTGATAGGGACAGTGTTGGAGGTGGTGATAGGAACAATGTGGTTGATAGGAGGTGGGGTGTGAAGGGACAAGTGATGGAGGGGTGATAGGGACAGTGTTGGAGGTGGTGATAGGGACAGTGATGGAGGTGGTGAATAGGGACAGTGTTGGAGGTGGTGATAGGGACAGATGATGGAGGTGGTGATAGGGGACAGTGTTGAGTGGTGAATGTAGGGACAGGTGATGGAGGTGGTGATAGGGACAGTGTTGGAGTGGTGATAGGGACAGTGATGGAGGTTGGTGATAGGGACAAGTGATGGAGGGGTGGTGATAGGGACAGTGATGAGAGTGGTGAATAGGGCAGTGTTGGAGGTGGTGATAGGGAAGTGATGGAGGTGTGATCCGGGAACACAGTGTTTTGGAGGTGGCCGATAGGGAAGTGCATTGGAGGGTGGTAGGACAGTGTGGAGGTGTGCTCAGGGACATCAGGATGGTGGTGGTGATGCGGACAGTGTTGAGGTGTGATAGGGACAGGTGATGGAGTGGTGATAGGAAGTTTGCAAGGCTGTGTGATAGGCGCACAAGTGATTGGAGGTGGTGATAGGACACTGTGTTGGAGGTGGTGATTAGGAGACAGTGATGGAGGTGGGAAGGGACAGTGTTGATATAGGGACATTGATTGGAGGTGGTGGATGAGGTGGCGATAGAGGAGGTGTTGTTTTTGGGTTGGATAGGGCAGAGGTGGTGGTGATGGGTGCTGGTCATGGAGAGGAGGTGTGTGGAGGCGCTGGTGTTTGTGGCTACGGAGGCAGTGTGTGAGGAGGAGGCATAGGTGATGGTGGCGTTGGAGATAGTGGAGATGGTGATGGAGGTGTTACTGTTGGCGTTAGTAGAGCTGCTCAGATTGCGTCACGGAAATTAATGTCCTCGTTGTTGTTTTTGTAACTGATGCTCCGATTGTTAGGTCTTTTTTCCTTTTCTGAGCTTTTCCTTCGTGCTCTCTTCCCCGCTTAGTCCCTTGCTCCCCAGTCCCAGGAAGGGAAGCGCCGGGCTCGCAATGGCAAGATCAAAGGAAGTTCGTCCGTTGAGGCGACGTCGGGAGCGAAGACCTACCCGCCAGCGCCGCCCGAGCGCCTGGCTCCGAGCAGGTAAACAAAGCAATAAAACGCGCTTCATTATCAGATTGCCTTGTACATATACACACACATGAATGATTGGTACTTCAACGAAAATCGATAGCGAATAGACTTAGCCCGGAAGTAATATTAGTGCTGGCGGTCTATGGCAACCCCATTGGCCGCGTTCCAGATGGCCTCGAGGTCGCGCGAGTGTGGCCGCGAGCAGACGCTGCTGCCCCGGCCACGGCGCGGGCCAGCCTCGGGCCAGGGGCTCGTTCTCGACGCTCGCTCCCGGGACGTCAAGGGCCCGTGAGGAGAAGGCGTCCCACACAGATGTCTTGGGAGGAGGGGGAGGGGTGGTGGGTGGGGGGGGGGGCGGTCTCGATGCCAGGACGCCAAAGTTTGAGCTGTTGGCGCCCGAAGGCTGGCTTCGGGCGGATGTCAGGCGGGGAATCCCCTCTGCCTCGGAGGCCCGACAATAGAATTCATTCGATATCTCGCGTCAGCGCTGTAGATGGCGATGGCCGTCTAGACTGCAGCCATCATTC